GGATTGGCGACCGTTTCCGTGCAGACTCGGCGCGAGCCGTCGCCATGTCGTGCGGCAGTCGCCTCACGTTTCGGGGGGCGCCTTCCCCGGCCAACGGATCCGGCGCCCGCGCGCCGGATCCATTGAGCCCCAACCCGTGTCAGGAATATATGGGAAGTGGGGGGGAAGACAAAAACCCAGAAAACATAGGACACATAGGGAATCCAGTTATTTGTGTCTATGTCCCAGGGCCCCTTCTGTGCCCGCTTGTTTCTTCCTCCAGGAGTGCCTGGTCTTCCCGCCCACCGGGGCTCCGCCGAGGGTGTCCCCAATGGTGGCCATCAACGCGCCCATCGCGTCGCCGACGCCGCGAGGTCGCGCGTGCGGCACCGAACCGCCCACGGTGGCCGAGTTCTGCACGTCGCTGTCGGGGCTCGCCGAAGGGAGCACCCTCCCCGCGGAGGGCGACACGACCAAGGTGCTCGACATGCTGTCCGCGGTGCAGCGGGAGAAGAGAACTCGTGAGGAGGAGGAGGAGGAGGAGGAGGAGGAGGAGGAGGAGGGCGAAGGAGGAGGAGGAGGAGGAGGAGGAGGGGGAGGAGGAGGGGGAGGAGGAGGAGGAGGAGGTGGGGGAGGAGGAGGAGGAGGAGGAGGAGGAGGAGGAGAAGAAGCTTGGGCGCTGCTTAACAGGGGGGCCATGAACAGGAGGAGGGCGCAAAGGCGTGCAGCCGGAGCAGAGAGAGTGGCATAAGCTTGGGCGTTCCCTCCCCCCAGACATGCTTTCGCCGTGACAAAATCATGGCAGGAGGTTTGTGGCCGTGTTCGGTGTCCACGCCAGGCCTGGGGACCGTCAAGCAAAGGCTCGCGGTGAAAAGCCGGTCTCGGGGGAAGTGTCAGGAGTTTCGGGGGACCGCAGATGGAACAAATGAAGACATCGCATGTCGGGGAATGTGGAAGCCATCAACAGGGGGCGAAGAATTTGTGCTCCTTTTGGGCCCCATGGAGGGCACCTTTCGGGTCCCGGCGGTGCACGAGAGGTGCGCCTTTGTTCACCCCGTACCCATCGCCCCCCCAAGTGCAAGCTGTCGGAGGTCCACGCAGATCCCTTGCTGGCGCGAGGATTGAGAACAACCCAAGCTTTGGAGGGGTGCCCTGCTGTCCTTCGCTCCTGGGGCTTTCCACACCGGAGTGCCTTTCGCTTTGGGCAGGTGGGGCCCTCGTTCTTGCGGCCATGCTTCGACTGTCAGCATCAGCTGTCGGAGCTCCGTGCAAGACTCTTGGATCTGCGCCGGACCCCTCAAGAGGCGCCTCCAGCGCCGCCCCTGGCGCGCTCCGATCCAAGGAGTCTGCGCGGTGTTCCGAAAGGTTATGTTTTTGTTGTTGTTGCTGCTTAGTAGTATGGTGATTACTTTATTCCTAGTATGTTAGTATGTTTCTTGTAGTGCGTAGTATTCTTAATATTGCTGTTTATGCATATTATTATTATTCTTATTCGTATTAGTATTCGTATTATTATTATTATTGATCGTACTATTATTATGATGATGATGCTGATTATTATTATTATTACTATTATCATCATTATTATTAACATTAGTAGTATTATCATGATTATCATTAATATTATTGTTATTAGTGTGATTAATATTATTAGTAGTAGTAGTCTTACTATTATCTATTCCCCAATCAGAGCTTGCCTCTGTAGGGGTCCTAGCGGATTCATATTCCCCAATAAGAGATAAGAGCTTGCCTCTGTAGGGGTCCTAGCGGATTCATATGGTTAGGTTAGGTTTGCCGCCGATTTTCGCTGCACGCCCAGGTGCCCGCGGGCCCGGGGGTGCCCGGGTGCCTGGGTGCCCGGGGGTGCCCTATATGCCCAATAGCCTTATAGCCCTAAAACTCTATAGCCCTATAGCTCTATAGCCCTATAGCTCAATAGCCCTATAGCCCCCTAGCCCTATAGCCCTGATTGGGTTTTTTCTCCGGTATCATGGTTAGGTTAGGTTTGCCGCCGATTTTCGCTGCACGCCCGGGTGCCCAGGTGCCCGGGGGTGCCCGGGGGTGAGGTTGGCCGCCGATTTTCGCTGCACGCCCGGGTACCCGGGGGATGCCCGGGGGTGCCCGGGGGTGCCCGGGGGTGCCCGGGTGCCCGGGGGTGCCTTATAACCCCTTTTGCCCAATAGCCTTATAGCCCTACAACTCTATAGCCTTATAGCTCAATAGCCCTATAGGCCCCTAGCCCTATAGCCCTGATTGGGTTTTTTTTCTCCGGTATCAATGTTGTTATTGCTATTAAGTTTATTATTATGTTTTCTTCTTCTCCTCCTTATTATTATTTTTCTTGATTTGTTTCTCCTTCTGCTAGGTTGAGCTGAGCCCTATGGAGTGGGCATCCTACGCCAGCCCGGCGCAGTTCAGCGAGTTCCACTGCGTCCAGAACCTCATCCACTGTGACAGCCAGTTCTCAGTGATGGTATTCTGCTTCGGCCCCGGCCAGGCGGTGCCCCCGCACACGGTGGGCCACGGCCGCAAGTCGTGGGTGAAGGCACCGAAGGAAAGAAGAAACTCCGCGTGTCTAGGCCTCCTAGATGGGGTCGGAGTAAATGGGTCGGAGGATCGCGCCGCATCGCCGCTGCATCGGCGATGCGGCTCGATGCGGAGCCCGATTTTCTCCATGGCGACGTCGCCGATGCGTCGCCGACGTCGACGATGCATCGCCGGTGCATCGCCGATGCATTGCCGTTGCATCCCCGATGTATCGGCGATGCGGCGCGATCCTCCGACCCCATCTACTCGGACCCCATCTGGGAGGCCTCTAGTGTGGTGGCGGGTTCGTGCCGTGACGAGCCCTGCGTTGGTTTCTGACGCCGCGCGGGTCGTTCAGCGTTGAACCTTGAACGATCGGCAGCTTTTCGATCGCCCTGCGCAGACGGTTCCATGTTGGCCGACTGGGCCACCGGCGGCGTTCAACCTTGAGCGCCCTGGGGTCGCAGCCTGCGTCGGAATTGCACGAGCCGACCGTAAGCACAAGCTTGCGGAGGTCCGCGCGGACCTCCTAAAGCTCACGCCGATGCTGAGTTTTACGGGGGGGGGGGACGATGAGCGGAGGGTGCAGGGGGATCATCCCTTCCCTCGTCTTCCCCTCCTTCCCCTTCCCCTCCCCCTCTTCTCCTCGCGCTGAGTCTCCCAGATTTCCGACGCCGTGATTTCTGTTTCGGCAGCGCGGGCCACCAGAGGTCCGGACCTCGTCAGTGTGGCCGGGTTTTCATCACGGGCAGTTTGCTGGCTGCCCCGGGGCCCGGCGAAGACCCCCAGGAGGCCGACACCGGTCAGAGACCGTTCGTCGCGCTGGTTGCCACGACGCCGGGAGGTCGGGGCCGACGGCCGGCTCGCGTTGTGCCGACGCGGCTGCGGCAACCCGCGCGGGCGTGGAAGGCCGCCGGGGGCCCAGAAGCGGCCCACATGCAAGGAGCTGGCGATCGAGAAGCCGCCGACCGTTCAGTGTTCAGCGATCGACGCGGTGTCAGAAACCAACGCCGGGCTCATCGCGGCACCCAGACATCCGACGTCTCGATGTTTTCGAGACGTGGGCCCCCGACCTCCCGACCACTTCCCTGGGACCGGTTTTTCATCCCGAGTCGTTTTTTGACGGTCCCGAGGCCCGGCGGGGGCCCCGAGAGGCCAGAAACTATGAAAAACCTCCGTCTCGATTTTTTCGAGACGCCCGATGTGTGGACACGGAGCCCGCCGTAAGATTCGCCCCAGAAGTAAAAAGGGAGGGCCGTGCCCCCCAGCCTCTCTCAGGGGGGGGGGGAGCAGCGCTCCTGGTGGCGAACGGTGTGTCATTCTTCCCCCGCGGCTGCGGCGGCTACGGAGCTGCGGCGTTTCAGCTTTTGCTGCCTGCTGTGATCTGCGCGATGTCGGGAGACGTGGTGACGGCGATCTTGGGCCGTGTTCTAGCTCTTGGGGTCACGCTCGCCTTCGAGGGTCGAAGGAGCTGGTGTCTCTTCCTCGGTGAAAGGCCCGCGGAAGCCCGCGGAAGTGAAACGAGGTCGCTCCGCCAGCGCAAGGCGGCGGAGGTACAAGATGCGCCCCCAAGATATGACAACGTGTTCGGATTCAGGGTTTTCGGAATCGGCCATATCACGGCGGTTCCTCGGCAATCACTACGGAGGCCTATCGCCGATCTATCGGCTCACCCTAGCGCCCGGATAGTAAAGCCCCCCCCCTTCTTGACCTTTCTGCCTCTCTATCCACGGGATTGAATGTGGTTTCATTGCCACAGCAGGAGGGGAGGCCGAACTGCATTTTCCCTTGGAAAGTTCCTATCGTAGCCTTCATCTTCATCTCATGCATAACACGATTAATGATCCTTATTATGTTGTTGCAGATGTCTCATGCGAAACGCACAATTCCGAAGGTTTGCCGAATTCGCTACTGTCAGTTGTTTGATGATGTCTCAGGCAAACGCTGACTTTTGCAAAAGGCACCGGTGTGATCACACCACATATCCAAAGAGGCTCACAGAGAGCGACAAACATACCGGAATCGTGCTCTTACCATGTCTCCAAAGGCCGTCCAGAAAGATCATGGAGGTTCTGGAAAACCGATCTTGAAGACCGATCTAGACATCCTAACGTAGATGTCTCTGGGAAACTATGTATTATCCCGCCTGGACCCCGAACTGTATTATCCCCAGGGGATTATTCTCACCAGCATGGGGTTATAGGTTATACACTCATGTATATACACATGTACCGCCGCCGTTTCTCACTCGATGTTTACATGTTGCCCCCCCCCCCTGGGTTGGCCCCCTCCCTGAGCTGGTCCCCCTCAGTTTTTGCCCGCTCAGGCATGTATGAGTCTTGGCCCAGCCGGTGTTTGTTTCTCTTCTTGGGCCCGCCAAGCAGCTCAGCGAGTGCGGCGGCAATTTTTCTAGTGGTGCTGTCGACTTAGGTGTGGACTACACCGCTGGCCGTGCTGTTCGGGTTGGTCGTCGTTCCGCTAAGCTCAAAAGCCCGCCTGGTCAAAGCACGCATGCCCTCCAAGAGGCTCAGACGTCAAAACACGGTCTTCTCTCGTAGGCAAGTCCTGCCTGTTTTGTTCGGTTGGGCCTCTGGCAGACGCTTCTTACGGCTCTGAAGTCACGGGCATCAGCGATTGAGATTTGCTGCGTCTGCGCAGGAGAGCGTTCTCGGTCGTGCGACCGATTCGCAGCCCAGGTCCCTGACCACGTCGGCTATTTTAGATGTTGATCCTTGTTGGCGCACGACGACTGCTCCGACAGCGCGCTGGTCCAAGGAGATTTGGTTGAGGCAGACGGGAGCGTTTCAATGGGCCCTCGAGTTGACCGCAAGCGTTTTGCTCCTGGAGGGAAGTTGCTGGCCCTGTGTCGGCGTCAAGGATTCATGTTGTCAGGCTGGGACGGCTAGTGGACAACTTTGTGACGCTGCGAGATGACCGCGGTTTCGCTATTCCGCTCGGTCGCTGTTTGCCCGCGTTGGTGAAATTGTTGGGCAGGCTTGGATATCTCAGGATGCATCCTCCCTAGGCTCTGCTGCGACATCGTTCGCGAAGCCCTTCACGGCAAGAAATCCATGGCCCTGCAGAATGCCCACACTAGGGCCTTCGCCAAGGATTTGTTTCACGGGCCACAGTTACAATTGCAAGTGATATTTGGTCGACGGCTTGTGTCGTTTTTGCGGAACGCTCGACGCCATCTCTTACAGGCTCGAGAGTGCACCCGCGAGTTTGTTGTCGCTCTTCGCTCAGAGGTCGCCTGTTCAGATACGGATGCAGAGGCATGCAGTGGCGTTGCAAGCTAAGGGGTCCGAGGACAGCAGCGAGAGATGCTCGTTTTCGTTTCTGGGACTTTCCGTCATCCCGCCGACTCCTATCCCAGGCCCATGACCGAGTTGGACGATGTTTTGTCCTTGTGTGGCACCGGAAGACACTCTGCACCTTTCGGGACATGCTCTTGGAATTGAGCTTCGGGGCTCTCTTAGCGTTGATGGTAGTTGCGCCACGCACCCTGTAAGGGAATTGTCTCGGGCCGCTTGCAGCGTCGTTCAGATTGACGATGCTGGTGATGTGGTGGTTGTTGAGCTTCGCGCTCCCATCTTGGCTGCGTATCCCCAGACTTCTCAGTCGGTTTCCCAGCTGCATCACCTGGGCCTCGGTGCTCAGCTCGGCCGATTTCCATGTGTGTTTCCGATTACAGCAACGTGCTGAAACAAACTTGTCGCCCTGAGATTGAGCAGCTTTCGGGCAAGAAGGTTTACTCGGGCGCTTTCCTTCAGGTGTACGGTCAAGGAAAAGCTCTCCTGAGTCTTGCTCTGAAGTTCCTGCCCACCGTGACTTGGACGAAGCGAGGATCGATGCTGAGGAGCGTTGGTGCAGGCAGGGCGAACACCACGCTGATGTCTCGGCGAAATCGGCTACATTGTTTCATCCTTCTATCGCGAGTGTTTTGGAGGAGGCGGATCGCCTTGCACAGTTTGCACGCGACACTCTTGCGCGTGGCGGCGCACGTTTTGAATCTTTGGCCTGACATTGACCTGTCTGCGGCTGAGAGGGTGATATATCAACCTGCTGCCGCAGCCGCTTCCACTGGCCACGAATGGCAACACTGGGGAGGCACCTGACGTTGTGCGCGCTACCTGTGTGGCAGCCGGGTCTCTGCCCAACCTCCTTTCGGCGCGTGCTCCCAGGGATTATGTTGTTCACGCTGCACATGAGGACGAGCTCGAATGTCGCACCATGGCCTTTCCTTGCTCAGGCAGTTCGGTTCTTTTCAGATGCACGAAGCGCAAGTGCTACAGCAGTTGAGGCCAGATTCCTGGTCTCGCTGCTAGGTGTGCCTCTGTCCCGACCCGAGCTTGTCAGTGTAGGTGGGCCTACGTTTGTCGGGGGCTTTTCGCCCCCAGTGCAAGCTGCGTCGTGAAGGCTCCACGGTGGACACCGAAGGCCTGACTCAGCGCTTCCGCCCCCAGCTTGCCACCGTGGAGCCCCGTCCGAGCGCCACGGTGCCTGCCTGCACCGCTGCAGAACCGCGTCGAGGCGCCTCGCAGAGTGCCGTCCTCCAGCGCGTGCGCGCGTCGCCCCCGAAAAAGGCCGCTCGGCGAGGGTCCGCTCGTGCCAAGGGCGGGGGACAGGTCAGACGAGTCCGCCTGGGTGTGATTTCCAGGGCGGCCGCACGTCCCTCCACTGCGGCCGCCGGTTCTGCTTCCGAGCAGTCAGGAGGAGCTGGGCGCGGAGCTCAAAACAGATTGTGGACGCCTCGCGAATCCCCACCAGTGTCCTGGGTGCAGTTTGCATCGCCCGTCGGCAAGGGTTCGGGCCCTGCCCCGCTTCCTGGCACCACCTCGCGCAGCCCGGCAGCCTGGGCAGCTTGGGCAGCTTAGGGTCGGCCGTCGGTCCCCGTGCGCTGCGCAATTCGGTTCGCGCGTAGCCCGCCCGACCTCTGACGCTGCTGGCGCGTTCGCCTGCGGCCGCGACGAAAAAAAGAATCCCCCCCAGCCCATCCAGAAACGATACCCAGAGGAATTGCCTCGACCAGAGAAGCGGGCAGCACACAGAGGAAGGGTCCCCCAGTGGAGGCTTCTTGGAGCGTCTTTGGGGCCTCTTGGCGGTCCCGGGCGCCTCTTACTTAGAGCGTCGTGGGTGCCTCGGAGAGATTCGTGGGGCCTCTTGGGGGTCTTTTGGGAGCCTCTTGGAGGCCTCTTGGGCGCCTGATGGGGCCTCCTGGTGCCTCCTGGACGTCTCTTGGGGCCCTCTTGAAGCGCTCTTGGGAGCCTTGGGAGCGCTCTTGGAGCCCTCTTGGGCCAGTTTGGAGCCATCTTAAGGCTTCGGCGGGGAAGCCAAAAACCCAAGGTTTTGGAAGGATTTTGGCCTCTTCGGGGCCTCCTGGGGGAGCTCTTTGGCCACTTGGAGCCAATTTGGAGCGGTCTTGGGGCCTCTTGGAGTATCGTGGGCGCCCGCTTGAGGCATCTTGGGGTACCTTGAGCCATCTTGGAGATAATTTTTGGCTCTCCCAGGCGCTCTTGGAGTCATCTGAAGCAGTGCCCCCTTAGTAAAATCAGCGATTTGGGCATTGTCGCCGAGGCCTCTTGGAGCGTCTTGGGTGCCTCTGGGCATCCTGGGGGCCTCTTGGGGGCCTCTTGGGGCCTCCTGGCCACCTCTTGGGGCCCTCTTGGGGCACCCTTGGGAGCGCTCTCGGGGCCATCTCGGAGGAGATCGATCACAGGAGGGGGGGGGGGTACGGATTAGAGCCCCCCCAGAAGGCCAAAATGGGTCCCAAACCTTAGTAACATCAGTGATTTTGGCTTCCTCGCCGAGGCCGTTTTGGACGCTCGGACGACTCGCGACCCCCCCCCGTGCAGGTCCAGGGGCGGTGGTAGGGGGAGGGGCACACCCCTCCCCGAAGGGGAAGAAGGAGGGGTGGAAGAGGAAACGCTCTAAACCACCGACGCCCAGGAGGCTGGTGGAATTCTTCTGCCTCCCGAGGTCATGCACGGCGGGATCCGTTACGAGGAGTTCGCCCCTGGGCTCTTCCCGTGGGAGTCCGGCGTGGAGTGCCAGAGCGAGCTGCCGCAGAGCTCCTGCAGCGTCCTGCAGGAGTGCGCGGTGAGGATGCACCGGCTCTCGGGGGGCGGCCCAGCGCTGCAAGACTCTTTTTCTCGGAGGCTCCCAAACCCAGGCGCGCTCGCGTCGTGCAAAGATCACGCCGGGAGGTTTTTTACAGTTCTCGCGGCCTCCGGGGGCCCTCGCTGGGCCCCGGGGCTCTCAGAAAACGACTCGGGATGGAAAGCCAATCCCGGGGAATGGGTCGAGACCTTTGGAGGTCGACGTGGTGGAAAGACGGAGCGTCGGGGGTCTGGGAATGGTGCGGTGACCACACCGCGTGGTGAGTCAGGACTCGGGGTCGCCGCGCGGTTTTGGGACCCGGGGCCTTCTCCGAGGACATCTCGGGCGACCGTGGCCTCCGAGTTCCCCAGAACCGTGCGGGGACGGACCGCGCGGTGAGGATTTTTTTTTGTCGGGGGATTTCGAAATCTGTACTGCACGGTCTGTGGCCACACGGTTTTGAGACCCCCAATCTTCGTACGTTCCACATGCGTTCTGGCTTCGGGATGCCTCCCAGCAGCTGCGCCTGGCCGAGAGGTTTCCCGGGTGGCGGGGAGGGGGTGGGGGGCAGCGCCCTCCTGAAGCAGTGCGCAACGAGGATGCACCGGATCTCGGGGGCGATGGATCAATTGAGAACAATGACCGTGGAGAAGTGGGGACTAGGGTTGGCGATTGTATGTGTGCGTGTGCGTGTGTGCGCGTGTAATGTGCGCATGTGTATGTGTAGATGTGTGTATGTGTGTGTGTGTGTGCGTGTGTGCTTGTGTGTGCGTGCGTGTGCGTGTGTGTGTGTGTGTGTGTGCGCGCGTGTTCGGAGGGTCTGGCCGCGCGCGCTTTAGTTCGTTCTCTGACCGAGTGTCTCCGCCTCGTCGCTGTGCACCAGGCTGCGATCGCCGAAAAAGCGTGTTTGCGTGTGTGTTTGTGTATATGTACAGATATATTCATACGACCACCCTTCGGGTGATAAGGAGGTTGTGTGGGGGGGGAGAGGGGGGCGAACCAACATCTGACTCAATCGATCTCACTGACTCAATCGATCTCACTATCGATCTTACTCAACGGGACACCACGGGACACCACGGGACATTTGTCCATCTCACTATCGATCTCACTCAACGGGCCACCACGGGACACCACGGGACACCGCGGGACACCTCTCGATCTCACTATCGGTCTCACTATCGATTTCACTATCGATGTCACTCAACGGGACACCATAGGACACCACGGGCCACCACGGGACACCACATCGATCTCATTATCGATCTCACTATCGATGTCACTCAACGGGACACCATAGGACACCGCGGGACACCTGTCGATCTCACTATCGATCTCACTTTTTGGGACACCACGGGACACCTCGGGGCACCACATCGATTTCAGTATCGATCTCATTATCGATCTCACTCAACGGGACACCAGGGGACACCACGGGACACCTGTCGATCTCACTATCGATTTCTTTTTTTGGGACACCACGGGACACCACGGGGCACCACATCGATCTCACTTTCGATCTCACTATCGATCGCACTCAACGGGACACCACGGGACACCGCGGGACACCGCGAGCCCCCGCCGGACGGACGGACGGACGGGCGGGCGGGGGAGAATCATTTGCCTTGACTTCGCCCTTGCAACGGCGGACATCACGGGACACCACGGGACCCCGCGGGACACCGCGAGGGCCACCGCCGGACGGACGGACGGAGGAGAATCATTTGTCTTGACTTCGCCCTAGCAACGGCGGACACCACGGGACACCGCGAGGGCCACCGCCGGACGGACGGACGGAGGATTATCATTCGTCTTGACTTCGCCCTAGCAACGGCGGGTTCATTCCTCTCGCGCGCCCACGCAGCTTCGCCTCGCCCGTACGCACGACACGAACGAAACGAAACGATGTGCTGGTTGGGGGGGGTCTCCGTTCCACTGCGATCTCACCCCCCAACCTCCGATATACATTTACGACCACCCTTCGGGTGATAAGGAGATTGTGGGGGGGCGGGGAGAGGGGGAGAGGGGGGGAACCAACATCTGACTCAATCGACCTCACTATCTATCTCACTCAAAGGGACACCACGGGACACCACGGGACATTTGTCCATCTCACTATCGATCTCACTATCGATCTCACTCGACGGGCCACCACGGGACACCACCGGCCACCACGGGACACCACGGGACTCCGCGGGACACCTCTCGATCTCGCTCCTTATCGATCTCACTATCGATGTCACTCAACGGGACACCATAGGACACAACGGGACACTAAGGGACACCTCGGGACACCACATCGATCTCATTATCGATCTCACTATCGATCTCACTCAATGGGACACCACGGGACACCACGGGATACCTGTCGATCTCACTATCGATTTCATTTTTTGGGACACCACGGGACACCTCGGGGCGCCACATCGATCTCAGTATCGATCTCACGATCGATCTCACTCAACAGGACACCACGGGACAGCACCAGACACTTGTCGATCTCAGTATCGATCTCACGATCGATCTCACTCAACGGGACACCACGGGACACCGCGAGGGCCACCGCCGGACGGAGGACAATCATTTGTCTTGACTTCGCCCTAGCAAC